ATTTACAATTTGTTCCCAGTTTCAAAACATATTTATTTCAAATGGCAGGCGTTGTGATAGCTATCATTAGTCATTTAGCTAACTCCGGGCTTCACAGAAGGAAGGTTCATCAAAGTAGCAGAAAGTCGAGGGGTGGGGATCAGAAGAGCGATTCACAGATGTAAAAGAGGCAGACAGACACAAAGGTAGAGAAAAAGGTAAGATGAGTACTGTGAAAGGGGTCGAATATGACATACAGTGGGGTCTTGGTAGTTTGAAGTCAGAAGTCAACTGCCAGTTAATAGACTTTTTGCCGTATGAGTATACGTTGACCAGGGTGCACCACGTGGAGGTAAGTCTATCGCACACCCAGTTTCAAAACATTAATGCTCTTCAATGTCATTGAATTTGATGAAATTCTTTTTTTTCTCATCAGCTATTGTTAACCAGCTTCAGAGAGTGTTTCCGAAGGGTTAACCCCGTCTTGACTCAGAGTTTGATTTGGACACAATTGTGCTTCTTTCCTCATCAATGTTGTGACAAAAGTGTAAAAGAACGAGTTGTTTGAATTGAAAACAGAGAAGTAGATACGTAGGTCCCTTCAATAATTCTTCCATTGCTGAGCAAGGATCTAATTCATTGGGGGATGCTAACACGTCACCATTGTCTTGATTTGGGTCTTCGGACCATGAGCATACAACAGCAAATATCAGCAATAGGCTTTGCAGCCACGTCAGCGTTCAAACCTCGATTAACGAAAAGCAACGCCTTCTCTGTTTGGTTTGGGGTAGGGCATTTTACTTTTAGCAATAAAAGATATCACTCACAAGCAATTGAATAGATTTTTCCTGCGAAGAAAGGCGACCTACACTGTCGTTTCCCTCACCTCATCTGGACACAACGGAACTGAAACATCTGTCTAATAACATGTGTAACATCCTATTGCTACCGCGATATTTATAGCGATATAATACCTTCTGCTATTCGTAAAATGAGTATTTTGGCGAAATTGTTGAATTGATTATTGTTTTATATAACCCTCTTACTAGGTCTTTGAAGAATCTGCCAAGAACCTTCCAATACATGGACGTCTATATGCTCGATCTTTTAGAAGACGTGATATGCCAGAGAACCTCTTGCGCTGCTTCTATTGACAGGTTCAAAGACGAGCATTCTTCATGTTTATTTATAATTCGCAGCAGCTGTATCGATTGATGACAAAGCTTTAAACATAACGGACAGGACCTCTCTGGCCCTATGAATTTATACAAACATTTATTCTGATTTTTTTAAACTTTGTAAACATAGTGAAACAATTTACGGCCAAAAAGGAAAAAATTAATCAAATAATTTTTCACTTAATCTTAGACATCTATCGAGTTCGTTCTTTTGTATTGTTATTAGGAGTTTATTGTTGTCAGGCAGCCTTGAACAATCTTCTAAGAACAGCAAAATTGTTTATTGAATAACATGAGCTATTAAGAGTAATGTTCACGTTCCAGTTTGGTTAGGCTAATTTAAGCATTTATTTTCAAAGCTACCATATTTCAAAATAATTATGCCATTTACCTTCCCCTCTCGAGGGACGTATAAGTGGGTAAAGAATATTGTTCCATTGTGGCAAATAAAAAAGTGTATATTGTTCCATAAAATTGGTCGATTGATGGCCTACAACTGCGCCTTCGCTTTATTTCACCATAGTTGATTAAAGACAGTCGTGTTTGGTATTTCGCTAAATTTCGTAGACGGGGTGTGTGATAGACTTACCTCCACGTGGTGCACCCTGGGCAACGTATACTCATACGGCAAAAAAAGTCTATTAATCAGCAGTTGACTTCTGACTTCAAACTACCATCACCCCACTGTATGTCATATTCGACTACTTCCAAGGTACTCACCTCACCTTTTTTCTACCTTTGTGTCTGTCTGTCTGTCTCTTACGTCTGTGAATCATTATTCTGTCCCCCTCTCGACTTTTTGCCACTGATGCTCCTCTTCCTTTCTGTGAAGCCCGAAGTCAACTAAAGGGCTAATGATACCTATCATAACGCCTGCCATTTGAAATAAATAAATATCGAAATAAGGTTGTCTAAAAAATCTCCACTTTTGCATCATCTGCCAATTGTCACCGAGCGCACTAAGGCAACATATCCTGACACCATACTACGAAAACAAATACACTCAATTTGTCGATCCGATGGTGAAAAGAGCACAAGGAAAAAAAACAACGCAGCACTATTTTATGAATGGAAAAAATAGGGCAATCTCTACTATACACCAATTTAAAATCGATTAGAGCAGCAACGTATCGATACTAGAAGCGAATGAGTGGCCAACTTGAGGCCGAAATTGTTCACCTCTTGCACACGGCGGTAACGATGGCTAAAATAACCTCGAATGCATAGAGGCAAGTGAGCACTGAGATAATATTCGCTTTCCGGAGTAAGTCATAAAGATGACGCAGATGATATAGGTCTCCCCATCCCTCACACCTCCCTCCCCCCTCCCCCACCTCCCTCCCCTTTTAAGTGAGCTATAAATGTCGCATTAAATAAAGGGGGACAGCAGCATGTGCAAATAATTGTCGTTCCCAGATCCGTTTATCGCACAGGCACTCCTTTGCCTAACTTCAGAGTTAACACTACCACACAATAAACTGACCAAATTAAGCCTCACAAAAGCCATCCTAGGTAAGATTCATTCGCTTAATTCTATTAGATTCAAAGTCCAAAGGTCTTCAATTGGGGCAAAAAAAGAAAAGCTTTTTATTGAATTTACTAGGAAAAAAAAGTACAGTCAACTTGAAAGCTCAAAATATTCGCAATGCTTACTATAGGAAGTCTAGATGTGCAATAGAACGCATAGTTGTGAGGACAGTCTATAGTCCCCAGATGTAGAAATTAACCCAAATCAGAGTGGAACATGTACTGGGGTGTATATGCAAGCACATCGCCGCATGAGAGAATGCCATAAATACAGATGGTACTGGAAGGAGGAGGAGGAGGAGGTAACCGTGATAGTGCACAAGCGGGTAATAAAACTCAAAAAACATCGAATTCGATAAAAACCAAGATCCGAGCAAGACTGGAATTCCTCTAACAAAGAATATCGGCAGAACTCTGCTTAGAGCAGGGTTGAAGCCAATGGCACTTCCATTTCTTATGTACAGAAAGGCATATATGGAGTTCAAAGCATCCTCTTAAGGTAAAAAGATGGGGACTATATATAAATGGATGGGTTTCCTGTTTGAGTCCTTATAAAGCAAGAAAAAGGCAGATGCCCGATTTTGAGAACAGTAGCCGAGCCATTCTAAATCTACATGCAAAGATAGCCTTTGCGGTTTTAAACAATTAGTGACCTTGTGTAGAGCTACGCAGATTATCCAGTACAGGGCACTTTTAAATTGAGTGTAGAGAAGTAAATGGCATGAAGTGGAAACCCATAGTAATTTAAATTCGAATGCTGCTCTCATTCATTCAATTCAAGAAAACAGCACTCCCCACTCCCTCCCTGCTTGGCTCCAAAATAAGTGCACGGATTTTTAAGGGCATTTGCCGAAATAACGCCTCCTGTATGATAAGATTAGTAAAGCGTTACCTGCAGTAATTTCCAATAAAAAACGCCACAGAAGGCCATGGAAAGAAAACAAAAACAGGGAAGTGGATTTACTTAAGCCGATTTAAACCTTGTGTAGGTGTGCGAAAACATAGTATAGGCTTCGTTGCCCCTATGAGATGGTAAACAAGTGTTCGCCAAATAACACCTTAAGCCGCCAAAGTACCATAATAGACGTCGGAGTGGGCTCAAGTAAACACATGCATATTTGATATGAAGTAAACGAAAACAAAATACAGCAGTTTCAGGAGATTCAGTGACTGCAGTGACGATGAACATGAATGCTGGAAAGAAAAGTACTCATTATCCTCTCCTCAAATTTTGGTACAGAATAAGACCTTCCGCTGCAAAATAGCCTAGGAGAAGTGTTATTTTAAGAAAAGAGCCGGAGTAAGTGAACATGAAAGAAAAGCACATGTAGAAGACATGGGTTCATGCAAGACTCTAGGACAAGGAATAAATATTTAGACAACATGAAGGTCAAAGAAATCCGATACCAGATGAACAAGTGGCGTGCTTCAATTCACCAGCAAATATTTATGGCTTTCCTCATGCTCATTCTTCACAATACTCTCGGAATAGACTGAAAAAAAGTTGCCACCCAGAAATGTGATACGTCATTGCTTGTACAGACTGTTGACATTACTCCATTTTGAAATGCTTCTAAAACAAGGTGAAATAGTGAAATTTACTTAACTAAACTTAAGTGACCTATTTAGCCAACTGCTTCCAGCACTCACTTTGGACAATGGTGCCTCTATGATGGTAAGCTTGGATTCTCCTACCACATCTCCTAACCAGACTAAAATGGTGCAGTTAGCCATTGAATTGGGAATTGATGTTAACTAATTGGCTTATTCGAGTGTATTAGTAAGCTAGCACAGAAATTCGAGATGACACCAAGCTGAAGACGAGAAAAGTCGATACACACGATGAGCAAACTTTACAAAAAAGGCAACTCATAATTAACATAATTACGAGTAAATGCATGAAGGAGATGAAGTACCTGCAAGGTAGACTGCGAATCAAGTCCTGTGGTTTGAAGAGCTCGATGCAGATTGCACATTGGTCGAAGCCCTCAGAGATCAGTGGATCCACTTGATTAAGACACTTCACCGGCAACTGTTTCAATGCCTTCTTTGTTGCGGCAGTTAACTTGCGCTAAAATGCACACACGAAAAAAACAAAAGGCATAATTGGATAGTATTTGAGATTCAGCAAAAGAAGCTGCAGAGGACGATTTTGTAAATTGTGGTCGCTTATCATTTACAATTATGTGAAAAATCAGCCGTTACTCTTCAACCCCACTAGATTAATCCAAGCTCGGTTTTGACGCTCTTAAAAAAAGAGGCTGTCAAAATAGAATATGAAACAATGAAAAGTGAAGTGTTGAAGATGACATCTGACATTCAAGCAAATTGAAAGCCAATCATCCAGTGGAACACAAAACAACTGTCAACAGTAACTGGGTCAACGCGATTTCTCAAGAATTATGTGAACGTGAAGTCAGGCCCACTAATTATTCATCAAGTGTTGTAACTTAACTTATTTTTCCTATGCAAATCCTTATCTACAATACTAAATTCTTTCAATTTAACATTCGTGACATGGAATTGTGTTGAAAATAGAAGCAAAATGGCACCAAAAGTTGGGGTACCACAGTATTGTTCCATTGACTTCGACCAATTTATTGGCATAGTAGAGAAAGGCAGAGTTTTGGACACCTTGCTTTTTTAATCTACTATTGTGAGTGACCCTTTTATTAATTCTTGTCGAAAAGACACAATCTTCCTCTCCAAATCTCCATTTGACGCTCGTCATAAAGCCCTCCCATCTTCTCAACCTATAATGGATATCGCAGTTCCCACAAATCTGGTAACTCTAGCTACAGCACACCTTCTCTGGGAATTTTTTAAATAGAAAAAACATGCAAACAATGCAATGAAAGGTGATGCTAAAAAAAGCACAGTAAAGCTAGTTTACGTATTATTTAACTGACACTGGAGTGATTGACACAGATTAATTGATGTGGAAAAGGAAATAGTTAACACCATCTGTTTGTCAACCAAGTCAGACACGAGACTTCCCCCCCCCCCCCCCACCAACCTGTCAATATACTGGTGTCAACACTAGCTCAGTGAAGATTTCTAAAGCACCCTGTCAAGCTTTGTAAGTTGGGGAATATGCTTTTACATAACTGGCATAATACCGTCGAACCATACATTAATTAGCATGATCCTATGCAAATTCATGGGAGCCCATGTGTTGCCTAAGACTGAGCATAGTCATTCAAAATGATTATTGATCTTCACTAGCCTCTGTCTCGCAATGACTCAGCCATTTTTATGTTAAAGCTCGTGTGAATACGGATTCTTCGTCAATTCTTGATCTTGACCTCTAGTTGATACTGCGACATGCAACTTGGTCTCTACACTTAACCCTTGCTGTTCTGAATTAGAAAAAAACGGTAGTCTGCCTTTAGTCATTGAGGTGTATTAAACTTAATAAGAAACAGAGGTTGTACCTTTCATAATTTGGCGAATTTTAGACCTTAATTAGAATGCAAGCAATTAGTTTAGTCTATAAACGAATATTTAATTAAGATCCAATTACAGCAAGAAAAACACACGTGGGGAGAATGGCCTAATTCTCGAAACAATGGTGTTGTTCGGATGAAAGTGACTAGCATTAGGCAGATTGTAGCTCACACAAACGTAATAATGCCAGATAGTAGTTCATTCTGTCGTAAAACAATGCCGTACTTCGGCAACAGAGATGGATTTGCCTTATTGGGTAATTATTGGGAAGAAATGGTTGAAAAACCTCTGAGAGTAAGAAGTTGAGTTTCACAATTAACCATAGTCGAGAAAGCTGGGTGCGTGATAGACTTACCTCTACACGGTGACCCTGGGCAGTGTAAACTCAGGGCGAAAAAGTCTATAAAACAGTAGTTGACTTAAAACTACCATAACCAGACCGTATGCCATATTCGACCTCTTCACAGTACTCACCTTACCTTTTACTCTACATTTGTGTCTGCCTCTTTTGCATCTGTGAATCACTCTTCTGTCCCTCCCCCCCCCCCCCCCCCCCCCCNCTTCTGTCCCCCCCCCCCCCCCTCCATCTCGACTGTTGTGACTTTGATGTTCCTCCCCTCTGTGAAGCCCGAAGTATACTAAAGGGCTAACGATAACTGTCAAAAAAGCCTTCCATTTGATAAAATAAATAATCGGGAAAGCTTTAAAAAAAGTAAAAAAAGCAAAGAATTACAATAAGTGAACCACCAGACTATTAAATTAGACAAGATAACAACTTTTATAAATGCAAATTGGAACTTCCATAAAGTTAATTAGCACATGTAGGAAGAGCGATACCTTAGCTATTCAAAAGGAAATTGTCTTTTAGTCAATGAGATAGACCCAAAAACTCATAAGGTCTCTGCAAATATGCATTTAAAGGACACCAACTGAAGACTAAATTAGTAAGTGGCCATCTACAAATCCACTTATCTACTGAATACTATTGTGTTTATAAGGTATATACGAGAATGTGTAGCCTTCAAGAGCTGACGTAAGGAAGGTAAGGATCTCTGGAACTAGGAATTTAGTTGCCCAAGACCTTGTTGATAGAAAAAAATATATTTATATCTATGGACAATGCTACCTCGTGTAGATTTTTCTCAAAGCCTATGTTACAACACATGCTAAATTATATTTCCTGTGTTCTTTCATGCGAAGCGGCTAGAAATATATTATTTCTGAGTATTACTGTAGACTGCTCGCGCACTCAATTCATTTCAATCACTCTGCCGAGAAACACGTCCATATCAATTACCCGTTTGAAGCTGTCGCTGCTTTGTCTGTCTCCAGTGCATACAGTTCTGTTTTCTGAGATTCTGCGCATATATTGGGTGGGCAACTAAGTCATTGCCGTTTTTGCTGACAGATTCACTCTATACTTTCTTTTGTCTTGTTAACGTGGCCAGAGTATCTAACCTATATTTTTTCTTACTGTATGGGCTTCTAGGTTAATTAGTAAACAATTTTTTTTGTTTAGTTCTTTAGTTTTGTTTTTATCCCAATTTAAAAATGAAAGAAAAGGACGTGCATTTCCGACACATTTTATTGTATTACTTCCGAAAAGGCAAGAACGCATCGCAAGCACAAAAGAAGTTATGTGCCGTATATGGAGATGAAGCCTTAAAAGAAAGGCAGTGTCGAAATTGGTTTGAAAGATTTCGTTCCGGTGATTTTTCACTGAAAAATTCACAACGATCTGGCCGCCCAGTCGAAGTGGATGAAACCCATATCAAGGCCATTATCGATTCAAATCGTCACAGCACAACACAAGATATTGCAGAGAAGCTCAATGTGTCGCATACATGCATTGAAAAAAAATTAAAAACCCTTGGTTATGTCAAGAAACTTGATTTATGGATCCCTCACCAGTTAAAGGAAATTCATTTGACGCAACGGATTAGCATCTGTGATTCGCCGCTACTGAACGCAATGAGAATGATCCATTTCTGAAGAACCTAGTTACTGGCGACGAAAAGTGGATAGTTTATAATAATGTTACTCTCAAGAGATCATGGGTGAAGCAAGATCAACCAGCCCAAACAGTATCAAAAGCAGAGATTCACCAAAAAAAGATTATGCTGTCAGTCTGGTGGGATCACAAAGGGAATTTTGTATTTTGAACTCATGCCACAGAACCAAACGATAAATTCAAACGTGTATGTTGAAGAACTCGAAAAACTGAAGGATGCAATTGAAGATAAGCGGCCGGCATTATCAAATCGGCGGAAGGGTGTTGTTTTCCATCATGATAACGCAAGGGCCCCCCCCCCCACACATCTTTGGTTAATCGGCAAAAATTATTGGAACTGGGTTGGGATGTTTTGTCACACCCACCATATTGCCCTGACCTTGCGCCTTCGGATTACCATTTGTTTCGTTCCATGCAAAACTCTTTAAATGGTAAAATTTGTAACAACGCGGATGATGTCGGATCACACCTAATTCAGTTTTTTAATAGCAAAGACCAGACATTTTACGAACGGGGGATTTTTACTCTCCCAGAACGATGGAAAAAGGTCATCAACAAGAACGGCCAGTATCTAATTGAATAAAGTTATATTTTTAAACAAAAATTCCGAAGTTGCCTTCTTATTTGAAATCGGCAATGACTAAGTTGCCAACCTAATATATACTTTCTCATGTCTTCAAAAGACTTAAAACATAATTCTTGTCTAAACTCAACTGCTGATGTTCCGGTTCTGAAAATACGACTGTATTCTTGAAGCCATTGAGAAAATCATTAGTTTGCTAGACGATTCACCAGAGAATAGCTTAGTTGCCTCCACTCAGAATTCCATGACCTTAGCTCGAATAGAAGCCCTAACTAGTCACACGTGTTTTTCCCATCCGCCTTTAATTTTTATTTAGTGCCTTCAGTGAATTCGACACTGACTTTAAACAAGGGAGAATCAGCACTAAAATAAGCTTTCATTAACGTTATTAAAGTACCATATAGCAGGGTAAAAACATTTAATTAAATAAGTTACCCTTAATCAACGCTACTTTAGACAAGCGCACATACTTCTGCGAATTTCATCACTTTACGAGATCGAGTATTCTACCTAAAGGAAGTTTTTCCTGACCTTGACTAGATAAAGTCCGAAAAAAAGTTTTATGAGGTAAATTAAAATACGCATCGAGAGTAGATAATTGAATAGGTATGGAAAGTCTTCAAAAAACTCCCATTCCCATTTGCTTTAATAAAAACTCAATTCAACGGAAGAAAATGCAGTAGAATGAAGAGACATACCGAGCGACGACTCTTTACCGATCTGGAAATTGAGAAGGAGCAGAATCGCTGCCAATAAAATATTCCCAATCTCGCTGGCAAAAGGAGTATTCCAAGCAGGAGAATGAGCACGCATACAATAAGGAGTAGCAGAAGACTGGAACTCAAATCTGTAGTATTATTCCCACTATTAGCTTCAGCCGCCGATAGATTGAAAATGGTGAGTGGTTCGGCAAAGAGAACAATGTCTCCAGTTACTGCGACTTGGGTGGAATTTGACGCGATAGCCAACTGACTTGGCAAATCGGAGAACATGTCTAGAGGAAGAGAGATAAGAAGAGGGGAGGAGGAGGAGGGAGAAGTGGAATTCCCTATTTTTCCTGAACCCTGGTCTAGCCCTTCTCGACTTCGTTGACGACGGTCCAAATGACGTCGGGAGAAAGGAGTGTGGAAGGAGAAGTAGGGAGTGACAGGTGGATCTGTAGCTTGAAAGAGGCGAACAAATAATGTTACCATATTCAAAATAACAGTGAAGAGACGCAACCTGATAAAATTTCATCCGCAACTAAAATGTCTAAGAAATGAATTGTAGTAAACACAATCATTATAATGGTATGCTTCAAAGTAAAACTTGCAATTATTGCAACGATTAGAGATGTCAAATGCTTCGATATTTACCCACAACTTAAGATCAAAAGCGATTCAGTTTGAAGAGATTAAAATAATTTTTATTGAATGCTCAATAACAAAAGAAGGTAGCAGAAATAGGTACTCGGATACATACGTAACAAGAATAAATAATGAATGAACCGTAAAATACAACGCCACCGCACTCAACTGATTTGATTGGAGCTTCTCCAGCGGTTTTCTACTACATTTGAGATAGCCAATCAAGATTGGCTAAAACGAGCCACTAATTTCGAGAAGCACATTAGTTGATCAGTTTCGAATATGAGCTTACCCAATGTGTGCACAGTAATAAAGATAAATGCGGATTATGACAGCAGAATAAACTTTATTTTGAGCATGTAATTTTATCTTGTAGCGCAATTGAGACTTCATATAGTAATCTCAAAGAAATCGACGGACTTGCAAAAGACTAATAGATTTCAGAAATCGTGTTAATTTTTAATGTTATTCGGTGAAAAAAATTGTCTCCTAAACCGCTTTGTGTAAATATTGAATTTAATGAGCATATTCAACGTCAAATAAATACTGAACTAATTGACAGTTGTTTGTTAAAAGCATGTGTACAAAATAAAATGGAAAATTAAAGCAAAATTTCACTTATAAGAGTGCAATAATATAAAGGGATTGACACCCAATGTGCGTCAAAGTTGGCCTCCAGTCGAACGATATACTCTGGAGTATATCATATCAAGAAGATCTTGAAGACCACTCAAATAAAAATAGAAATTTCCCCTTTCAAGTATGAAATCTCAATTTCCCCTTAAGCATTCCGTATCCAGTTCACTTTGATCAAATGGATCAAATAAAGTGGCCTTTTCATTACCCATTTGTGTGACTTTTTACGCTATTTCTTATATCATATCACCCTTGTTAAGACTATGCAAATGTGAGATTTTGGCCGAACGGATTTATTCACCTTCCTACCCTCAAATGGCAGTAGATATTCAAACCCCCAAATATTTCGTTGAATATAACGCTTTTCCTAATTATAGATCATAATTACATACTATTAGAAATAAAATACTAATTGATTATCACAAGAGAAGAAATAAAAATATTCATATAATTTTTATTTCAATTTTAACTTATGGCTTGGTTTCGTATGGTTATCAGATACTTCTATCCAAGCTAAAAAATCATTTTTAATTGCACAGCACAGCTAGTGCATAACAGGGCTCTTATTTATCAATAGAAATGCTAGTATTTCCATCTCTTTCTCGATGCGTATGTCCTGACGCACACCTAGGTAGATGGTAGTGGCTTGAAACGAGGCCAAAACGGTTGTGAATTCGATATTTTAAAAAAATTACAATTTTACTAAACTTAAGCAAGAAGTTTGGAGATAATTGCCAATTGACGCAGGGATAGCGTACATCCCTGCTTGGCATTTGCCAGAGTTCCTGAGATGGAAACTCACAGATTGGAATGCCTAGCCAATATTGATTAATGAGAGGCACAGCTAATGCTACTTATAAATCTACTTAATTTGCTTTGAAACGTCTTTTCTTAATGAGAAACGTATTATCTATATTATTAATACAACGGTGAGCAAATGGCAAACGAGTGCAATAAAGCAATATTGCAAACAACTCCAGCCTTTACAAAGCAACATTAGGCCTAAGAAAAGTTAGCGCATGATGACTATAATATGCTAATGTAGGCGTACACGCGACATCTGGTAGGAAGTCATAAAAAACCCCAATGGTAGAGAATTAGTTCCAATCCTTCTTATTCCATCGATATCCCCTTTTCCACGGCTTTGAAATGTCCAGATGCGATGAAAACCGCAAAAGTAGTATATACTGACGAAGAATGTACTTTAGTCCACGCTTGTTACTTGTCAGCCAACGTTAGCGAAAGAAATTTGATCTGATAACATATTTAGAACGCTACTTTTCACCTAAAATGTAAATACTAACTCTAGTATTGAGTTGTCGTGCATTTAGGTCAGAAAATGGGGCTTTGGTTCAGTAATGAGTTTAAGGGATGAAGGCCTTCTGACTTATTTAAGCTCCATTAACACATGCACGCGCTGTTGTTTAAATGTACTAAAATTAGGACATTTGCTTAGCTTAGGGAGGTGTTTAAGACGAGAGGAGTAACGCATACTAGACGTTAGGAAAAAGACAATCTACTCTCCCAGATAAGACAATAATTATTTACCATTAGTAAGACTGGATTGAAAAATAAACGATTAATTATGGGTCGAGGGCTGAAGGAATAGAAGAGCAATATAACCAGTAAGATTTGGGCACTGTTCTTGAAGGAATTAATGGAGGAACTGAATTAATTCACTTAACTAACCCCCCTTTGAAGCAATTACGCAGCAGATGACGACGAAAGTTACCATGCTTCTAAGTGCACTTTCTTCCAAATGTGCGAAGCGAAAAAGTACGTTCAGAATGGCTCCCTTGGGTGCTAGAAATTCGACCTTGGAGGAGAAATGGAACACAACCAAATAAGGTGCCAACTTCCAATCGTGTCCGAATAGGACGAAACAAGCAAACGATAGACAAAGCCGAGATATTTTAACCTTACGTTTTTGGAGCAGTGTTATTGATTTATATACAAATCAATCTATTCAATACATTTATAGCCAGTTGTATACTAGATAAAATTCTACAAGGAATTAAGAAAGCTGATTGAAATACGCATAGGATTTAAGGAAAATGTCTATTGTATAGATAGTTTTTTTGCATTAATTATTTTCAAGTTAGGGTGTCTACATTGATCATCTTTAAATCCTCCTTAGGTATTTCAATTGTTTACAAATTCTTCTATTAGATTTGAATAATTTCTCAAATGCGCAACCTACATGATTGACTTAAATGATGCTTAAAAATTAAATCACAATCCTCAATCGTCAAATTTAAATATTTCGAAGCCCGATAATGAAACGAGAGGAAGAATTTCGGTCAGCATTAGCTACAATTTCTGAAGTAAGTACGGATTAGGCTTGATTCATCTCTTCTGAAAACGGAAAGCTTACCAATTTCGATTTTGGTTCAAATGGTTTTTGTTTATATGCAAAGTTTCACTGCATTGAAACAAACTTTTTTCGTATCAGACCGAACGAATAAACTCTATCATTATTAAGCTTACAAGGATCTATAAGATAACCCTTCTTATTAGCGTCTCTAAGGAGGTTTATTGCATTCGCAAGCCCATTTCCCACATCAAATTAAATTTGATACATAGTAAATAACCTTGCAAAAATCATAGGGAATCTTTAGGGTTAAATCTCTCCCAATGCGAGACTTTACGGATGGAAGCTAATTCAAAGTCTAAACCAAATAAATTCTTCTAAGCCATAAGCAAACTTATTAAGCACGGAGATGAGTAAATTAGATAATCCAGAGACACCGACATCAAAACTCTTCCATACTGAAAAAAAACAATAAAATTTAAAACACGTTCAGATTGAAGGAAAAAGCATAGGGAATGAAAAGTGGTATTTTTGCTGTAAATCTAAAACAAAACTTCCAAAGCAGCCCAGAAGGCACCTACTTTTACTAGAAACTTGCATCCCCCAATGCCTCTTCCAGACCTCTAACATGATTGGCCACTCACAGCACTTAATCAGCACTGATGGGCAAAGATCTCTCGATTTCCCACTGTTCAAACGAGTAAAAATTGCAAAAAAAATTTAGGACTTGTAATGAATCATCAAGTGAATATATATATATATATATATATAGCTAACTGATAAGAGTTAGCCTGGCTTGCAAAGCGTGTTAGGCAAAGTTGAATTACTCACAAAGAACAGAATGATTAAGAAGAGAGGGAGAGGAGGGGAGAGAAAGCAGCATTGGGAGTTAAAAGCATTCTAGCCACCATTGAGGGATGAGCAAGAGGAAGGAGTTACTAAAATTAGGGCAACATAGAGGCAAGCGAAGGCATGAATCATTTTATTCACGCACAAACTGACGAGTATGCAAGCAGATGAGAGTAAGCAGAAAAGCTGCCGGGGACATCAGCACGTGCGTTGTTTCGTTGAGAGGATAGGGGCGCAATGATAGAGAGAGAGAGAGAGAGTGACCAGAAAATGCACACAAACAGCACAAAAATGGCCACAGCCCCATCTGAAAAAGCAGACACGTTCTCTCCCCCCCCCCGGACTTCAACCAATATCGGTGAGTCACAATGAATACCTACCCTCTAAGAAAACAGAGGGAATTCCACATACTGCTTTCGTTGTTTCTGGGGCGAATGGCATGAAAAGGGAGCATCAAAGCGGATTAGTGTTTTTTTGATAAATGAGGGGGCGAGTAACTCATTAAACTACCACGCCAATTAGGACTATACCAAGGTAAAGGAAGAAGTAGGGGGTGGTAATATGTACAAGTAACCACCAGATTGGCTAACACGGATCGGAAATCCGTCTAATACTCTAACTGAAGTTAATAAATGCACTTACAAATTTTTTATAGCAACAAACAGGCAGATTATAGAATTCAAATAGACTAGATTAATGCCGTTTAAGTAAATTACTCTAAATCCATTTCCTGGGACCTTATAAAATAACGATTATTGTTTAAATGTGAGATATGGGTGAAAAAAAGAATAAAGAAAAGGATTACCAAGTTAAGGAATATGGATAGAGGTAATCTCTAAATGTTCCACCAAATCAAGATTTCCAAATAAAATCCGAAAAAATGGGATGTGAGTTTAGTTAATGAATTACGAGAGAAAAACGTGAAATTGCTAAAAACATCATCAAAATCATAAAGAAATAGCCGTGTGACTAGGATAAAAATGACAAAAAAAGAAAATCACTACAAGTACCGATAAATACAGCTGAATTGGAAAATTCTAAATCTCTTTTTCTCTCGTCGCATTTTATAACAACGCAAAGTTCTCTTTCATCTATTAAACGGAACAGCTCTAAAAAGTTCAAAAAGGTATAAAAAAATTCAAACGATCAGATAAAGCAATAACCAGGCTCCAAATAGGTAGCGCGCACTCCCTTTCAAACCACCCATATCTTTCCGCATCATCGAGGACTTACAATGAGCCCACCAGAGAACGTAAAAGTGTGTGCTTCATGTTGCTTCCCGTATTTCGGTTTATACAAGTGGAGGAAATGACGCGTAAATAGCAAGTTGACGGCAAAATGAAGCGCGATTTATGAATGGAATAAAAAGAGAGTCCAATTTTTAGAACGTGTCAAATAAAAAGAGCAGAAAGTGCTACTTCAAAGCCATGAAAGCACGATCGAAGATAAAAGTATACAGAAGTAAATGTTATTTATTAAATTGAAGAAAAGGGGGTAAGAGGAGAAAAAGGTAGGCAGGTGATTAAATGTACATTGAAAAGATGCTTCCAAGTTTAAATCAAAACAAAAAAATTTATGAATTTGTCACGAAACGTCTAAGATAACCGCCAACACAAAATCGCTAATATTTGAAAAGGGGAAAGAGGTTTATGTTACAAACTTAATTCGAATAATAGACTGGAAGTGAGTAGGAGTTTAATTTATCTAGCAGTAAAGAAAAGAATGCCCTTGAATAGAATTAATGTTTTAATAAAACTTTTCTTACAATATAATCAAAGAAATAAGTATGTAGTGCTTAGCAAATGAACTTTAAAGAATACACGATCGAAATAGTGTGGATTTTGAGATAATGAACTTGAAAAGACAAACATAAGGGAAAATACAAGAATGGAGCTAGGAACGTAAAAATTATAATGAGATACTGGATAGCCTAGAGAATGAACAATTTAGTAAACAGAAGCAAATAAAAGAAAAATGGTAGAGATAGTTTACAAAAATTTTATTACTCGAGGTATGGATTGATGTGACGAAAGCAGAGAAGCTGGTATGTAAATCCCCGTTTTTAAGAATAATTTTACGTTTTAACCAAAGCGAAGCAACTGAATGATCTCACAAGGAAACAATAATATGTGCTGAAAATTTGGGATTAAAACTACAAATGTAGACAAACTTTCCCCAATTCACAAAGGCAAGAAAGCACAGACGTCTAATGCATAAAAATATGGCAACCAATTATGCTAAACATATTTACTATTTGAGATTATAAATAACAAATAAAATGATAAAAAATGACAGAAGAATCGTTCACCATTATTTCATCACAGTTTAAACTAAATTTATTTCACAGTCAAGACAGGAAGTAACAGAACGGCACAATATGACATATCTGGGAATTTTTACACAACCGAACTCAAAATTTGCCCCAACATAAAATTATATATCGATTTAAAATAACGGTGTAAAACATACCAGGTTGATTAAATGCAGTCTGGCCATCACGCAGAAATATAATAGTACTCGCGTTAATAAACGTTATTGACTGATTTAATAGTTCCGACAGCGAACATCCACCATGGTTTGACTTATCTTCAATAATTACAGCTATCCAAGGGGAATTATATGATCTGTCAGGAAAAGATAATAAGCATTTATTATCTTGAGATCCGTTTTCATTTTGTTTGGAATGCCATTCGAGTAGAACTAAATCTCCTTGATAAACTCTGGGATAATCGAGTTCCCCGTCGCTTTGAGGTACTCCACCCACACAATAATTGCTAACCTTAAGTTAAATAAAAGATTGAAGGTACTAGACTTACACTTAAATTAAAAACTGAAGTGGATAACTTTATTGATACATTACTGCAAGATATGGTTATGTCGAATCGAGAGTAGCGGATGCATTCACCGCTAATAATTGCAGATATAAAATATAATGAAATCCATAACAATGAATGCGTCATCAATGTCACATTAAGAAAAGAGAGAGATTTGTTCCCAATAGAGATTGAATCAGCCCACGGTTTACTTGGCTTTCTAGGCCGAAATGCCGACTACCCAATAACCTTCATGTGACTTAACCTTCAGTACAATTGCAAACAAGCATATTTTAAAAATACCAACTAACTTTCATATGATAGATATTGAGTACAGTAACATTTTATTTAAAAAATGATTTTAAAATATTATAATTTTTGTCATGGAATTTTTTGAAGTTTGAATATGGAAAAATTGTAACTAATGGAATTTTTTGTTTTTTCCGCATATGACCAAATATGGTAATATATCATTTGTTTTTTACTTTTTGCATAGTTCTGAAGTGGGGCTAAATTTGTTCTGTGTTGCGTTATAATCGTTCAAAAATGTAATGAAATGTCCAAATAACTTATTTCTATTTTGCTGCCTAAACGAAATTAAGTTTTCAAGCCATTTTACCGTTTTCCAGTTAGTTAAGCTTAGAATATGAGAAAAATTGTAAATTCGGTAAGTTTTATTATATGGACTTTAATGGACTTCACAGTGTATTGAAGTATGGATATCTGTAACGTTATAAGTAGAACTGTAGAAAAGGACATTGTAGTGGATTTCTACTTTAATAAGCCTTAATGACGCTCAGAAATCAATATGGCGGATTTTCCACTGTCGGAAAGGCTACGGCGATTATAGGGAAAAGGAAATTGTGCTGCAAGTGAAACGGTTAGTACAACTAAACTGAAAATCTGATATGTTTTCAAATACTCTTTGCATAATTTGAGCGAATATTAAGAACTAAATGTCTGGAAGTGCTCTGCATGTACGACCACTCGCTCCAAAATGTTGAGGTAGGCATTTAATCCTGTGAGGATTGCGTACGCCGCACCCTCGCACCAATCCTGGTGAGTTCATATAATTATATTATTAGATTGATCTAAATGTCACTATATTTCGCATTATACCCAGCATCTAGACCATAGCTCAATCTACTGTGTTGATGGCTATTAGGCTTGAAGAGGCTTCCCTAAAAATTAGTCATTTTATGTAGAAATGAGATTGTACCTCAAAAAAATCATGGAAAGAAAAAATAATTCTCGTTTTCTCACTAGATTAATCAGATATTTTATTTCCCCAGGTAGCCATATTAATTAAATGGGGTTTTAACAACACGTAATTCAATTTAAGAATGAGATTAATTTTTCATAAGTGGATACTCTGACAACACACGCATTATGGATTATACCTTTCTGCTAATTCGTCTCTTTGCCTTATTATTATAAGTTTAGTATTGTATTATCCCCTTCCCAAAAAAAGCATGTTTGCCTATTTACATGATATTTTTATCAAAATGTTATCAAGGAGGCATTTTGGTACCCTTATAAATTGATTTAACTTACGTCGTATTATATCGATTGCGTTAATGAAAAGTTAGTTTATCTCAAGTGAATTTTTGAGCTATATGCTAATGAAACAGTTCTACTCTAATGTATCAACGAAGTAAATACAATCTTCCTTATGACTAATGAATCCTCAAAGTATGAATCAAATAGCAGATAATCTGGTCCACAAATTATAATTTTGCTTATACTTTGTAATCAAAGTTGTTTGCTCCATTATAAAGAAGTAGAATGTAAATTAAGCAACAAATAAAAGTGAAAGTTATGACAGTCACATACTGGGCCATTTGACTCGAGATATGTATCTAAAGATGCTTACCTAATTTAGTATTATTTACTTTAAAAGCAACCGAATTTATGCACTATTAATTGACATTTTGAAAAGGCACGCAACATCTTCGAATGGAAAGATTAGACATTTTCAGCGACCTGTTGCACATCGTTTTTAGTAATATGGCAATCATCTTATCTGTTTGTACTTTCAGTTTTAAAGCAGAATTTTTAACGCTGGTGTACTCCTGGCTGTTTTGAATGGAGCACGGGACAATGATATATTCAGGCAATTTTGTTAATTATGTCTGCTTACTTTTCTGATAATAAGATTAATTAATAAACTTTAAAATTAACCGACCATAAGCCCATGCATATGTCGGCTTATGTTACAATTAATAAGAATCGATTTTGTAGAGTTATCGCGGATCGATGATTTGCATTAAAACTAAAATGTGAATTAATTTATTTGAGTTTGATTTTGAGATTAGACGATTACGGCCACAGCGTCTGGCTAATTTTACTCATTTGTTTGTGAGTAATCAATCTTTATTTGACAACTTGGTTTGCTATTTTGGACTCTCAGATTACTTACTCTTCATTGAAATTATTATTCTTTCCATAATCTGAACGTTGCTGACTGCTCTTTGGGAACTTTGCAGCAGCGTTTGGACTTGCTTTAATTCGATAATGTCAAATGAACATTGTGGCAAAAGTGGTGAATTCTGGAGTTTAATTTCAAACTCAGATCAAAACCAGAGGGCGTCAGGAGATATAGGCGATGAGAGGCACTCATCTGACAAGAATTCTATTGAATTTAATAACATAAGGACTGGATTTTCTCATCTTCATCTCAACACAGAACCTTCTGAACCATCAATGGAGTCTACAAGTACTGTTCCGAAAATTAAGAAAAATGCTCCCAACCCGTCAGAGTCAAATAATGCTTCTTCCTCAAGTCAGCAGAGCGTTAAGTTTGCGTTTAATATCCAGAAAGACCCTCAGGATAAATTTTTCGCTGATACCGCCCAGCCTACTTCTCTTTCCCCGTCTCCTGGTTCCGCTGAAAAAATGATTTTGCAATCTTCTGAACCCATTGAATTTGAGAGGCCTTCTAGACCTGGCCCTCGTTCTCGCCCCGATACCCCTAAATCCCAGAGCTATGATAAAACTTGCATCCCTGACCCTAAGCTGCAAAATATTAAAGCGGAAAATTCTGTAAAACATTCACCCAATCCCTTACAGGTTACTTCTCCACGCAAGTTTAAGCAGCAGGAGATTTCCATTCAACAATCTTCGGATGCGTCCTATTATCCATCAGAATCTTCTTATGAACCCCTTACTCCAGGTCCAAGTAATGGCAATTATCAAGCATCTCGAAACTTTAGCAGTCGTCCTTCTTCAAATAACTACTTCTTCACTCCTAGTCCTGGAAATATGAGTGCCTCAAGTGGAAATATTACAATGGGCTCTCTAGAAAGTGATCAGCAGAGTGATCCGATGAACAAAACCAACCTAATTGTAAATTATCTCCCACCATATATGAACCAGGATGAAGTAAAAGCTCTTTTCTCAAGTATAGGTGAAGTAGAATCTTGCAAACTGGTGAGAGAAAAGACGTCCGGTGAAAGCCTAGGTTATGCCTTTGTCAAATTTGTTCGTGCAACAGATGCTGAGAAAGCTATTCATACTTTGAATGGTCTACGACTGCAGAATAAAACTATTAAAGTCTCCATCGCACGTCCTAGTTCAGAATCTATTAAAGGTGCAAATCTTTACATCTGTGGTTTACCAAGAAAGATGACTCAAAGTGAACTTGAGGACCTTTTTTCTCACTGCGGAAAGATTATTACTGCGAGAATCCTCTATGACAATAAGACTGGTCTTTCTCGAGGCGTGGCCTTCATTCGATTTGATCAACGTCACGAAGCTGAGCAGGCTATCCGTAGGCTTAATGGTTATCAACCACCTGCAGATCATCTTAATTCTCCTCCAAATGAGCCTATCACTGTCAAGTTCGCAAATTCACCTAACTCTATTCGAAATGATAGCTTCAGTTTGGCCTTACTCAAGCAGGCGGTTCAATTACAGTCTGTCGCTGCTTCTGTTGTTACACCTCCTGCCCGATCTGCAGCTGCTGGATTACTCAGTCCACTTCAGCAGTTTGCCTCGATTTCAAATCGACTAAAGTTCCCTTCAGTTAACAGTCAAGGTCCAAATGCGGCTGATCTTCTTTCCACTGCTGTTAATCCTCTTCTAAGTCAAGCAGTTGCTGCAAGTTCAGGAGCCCTTACGCCAAGAGGTTGGTGTATATTTGTCTACAATCTCTCTGCTGAAACAGAGGAGTCTAATCTTTGGCAACTATTTGGTCCATTTGGAGCTGTTCAAACTGTAAAGATAATTCGCGATCCAAACACAAATAAGTGCCGAGGCTTCGGTTTTGTGACAATGAGTAACTATGAGGAGGCTATGCTGGCTATTCATTCACTGAATGGCTTCACTTTGGGAAATAGAGTACTGCAGGTTTCCTTCAAAACCAATCCTAGTCCACGTATCAGACCTTCAGCGCACACACCACCACTGAAAAACCTGAGCCCGACATTGCAGGGAGCTTCTTTCAACGAATCATTCCAGTCAACTGAGCTTGCTGCGGCGTTAAATGCAAAGGAATCTCCCAGCTCTGTTTCCTTAGAAAGTAAATTCTCACCACAGGTTCGACATTCCGATTCCGGGAATAGATCAATGTTCGACTCAATTAGGTCTACATTGAAGGCCGATGGAAAGGGCGAACTATTTGCTAGAAGTGATAGTAATCAGGGCTTCTCGAAGAGTTTCTCACCTGAAATACAAGAATTTATTTCGGAATCGAATACGGAAGGGGACAGTCCAACAGGCTATCGTGACTAATTCGAAAATCACTTCAATTCGAGAAAAAAACATTCGTTTTCATTATTTGCAAACTTATAACATTAGCGAAAAAATTGTTCATTTGTGTTAATTTCGATTCTGGAATAGTTTTCATGCAACATTGATTTCTCCCACACAATGCTTAAAATAGTTGCCTTTATGGATTCTTTATGACTGTTAAGCAAGCAACTGCACGCATTGTCTTGCTACGTTTACGCTGCACTGAAATGTATTGAAATTCTCCAAATTGTATCGTGTTACCATGAGTTGTAGTCAATACTCAAAAGCGAACAGTCCCCACATTTGTCAAGAAAAAAAAGAAAGTGGATTAGTAGTCCCCCCCCCCTCCTCCTCCGACGATTTCAACTCAATCCATATATATTTCTTCTGTTCTTATTCTTCCACATTAAGTAACCTCGTTTACGTGTACTTCTAGGTTCCTTCTCATTAAATACTTATCGTATATTAGTCAGAACTTATCATTTTCTTGTCTTACGCCAGCTTATAATCCTCCTCCTTTCGTCACAGTCTTCATAATTTGTGAATAACTGATAATTATATATATCAGTTAATACTTTGAAAACCTATAATTGCACCCCCTTCCCCCCCCCCCCCTATTATTCTTCTTCTTCTGGTGAAATGAATTTTGTTGTTCATTTTCCCTAATATATGTTTGCCACTAACTTATCCTTTTGCCCCTCCAGTTAATGACTTGAATATCAGGGTTTTGGTGGGAATTTATAAGTACAGAAATGCGGGAGTAAGCGCTTGATATGGAGATAGGCCGTATATATTAAAATTCATTAACGTCATTTTTTACCATTCACTTTATTTTACAAACAAAAAAATGATTGTCTAAGAACATAACGTAGGTACACAGAGAATCTAGGGGATTGGTAATGGAAAATTAAACCAATATGCGAGTACGATTAGATCCGGGTTAAAGCAAGCCATCAGTTTATCACTTTAGGCTGATTTGAACATTTAGCCACATGATATGACCCATTAGTATATTCAGAGATACCTCTTTACACGTCTAGGACCGATACTCGTAATCAATCATTTATTTGCTTTCTACTTTTTTTGCTTTGAGATCCACCCCCCCCCTCCCACATCAATCTGATTTCTTCAGCTCTCCATCACCTTTTTTATTCCCATTTGACCCTTTGTGTTTGATTGCTTATCCCAATAAATCCTGTTTGACACTACTTTGGTTCCATTCCATAGCAAATTGGAGGGGCTGATGGGATAATGTGACCCACTACCTTACCGCATTTACTTGGGATATTGCTTTTGTTGGTTTCTATACGATCGAAGGACGTCACTGCGTAAGGCTAAGAAACCGAAGATCTTCCTTACGGCTAATACTAGGCAATTGCCTAATTGAAGGACGACTAAGGAATAATTGTACAAGAGTAGCGAAATTGGGTGAGGAAGAATATATCGAAGAACGTCCACACAGAGTGCACAGAGATCCAGAGGTTATGAAAATCATAATATGTACGGACTCCCAATAGAAGAGTACAAGTACAAATCAATGATTGATACTGAAGGTGCGGGGGTGTGCGATAGACTTACATCCACGTGGTGCACCCTGGCAGTTGACTTTTGACTTCAAACTACCATGACACCACTGTATGTCATATTCGACCACTTCCACAGTACTCACCTCACCTTTTCTCTGTCTTTGTGTCTGTCTCTTTTACATCTGTAAATCACTCTTCTGTTCCCAACCCCTCGAATTTCTGTTACTTTCATGTTCCTTCCCCCCCCCCCTGCGAAGCCTGAAGTCAACTAAAGGGCTAATGATAACTATCAAAACGCCAGTCATTTTAAAAAAATTAATAAATGATTGATACTGAAGGTGCGGTTTGGACGCTTACGCTAGCACCCGGGGTATGCAGATGTCAAGAGAGGAGACCTGAGGAATCGTGTACTTCATGTCGAAATGCACATCTTGAAATTTTAGCATCTAAGCGTCTCCCTAATGAATAAATCTATATTCGCTCATGTTTCCTACCGATTTATATTGATTGTTGATGAATGTGACTCAGTGTGTTAAAAATCCTTACCAATTGATAAAAAGAGGTCGACAAAACCCGTTGTGTAAAAATTTAAACTTACTGTTAGATTACCACTTTAACTGAAATTACAGCAGAAAGAAATATTCGAAACCTTTCAAATAAGTTAGGAATCGATATTTAAAATAGGGGACCTTTGAATTATTAAGCCTATTATATCCAAAATAATTAAAGAGGCTTTGTTTCTCTGAAGCAAGCCATACAATGGGTTGTCAATAAGGAAAAGTGAAGTTACGATTGACGATTTCGAGTGCAGAACCACGAGGTGTATTTTGGGTCGTAATCATACCTCAAACGTCCTTACACCACAAAAAATATTATGATTATGAAACTTAACTCGATTAGGAAGATATCCAGAGACGGCGCTTACTAAAAAACTCTTATTTCACCGCCCCGTTGTCGAACTTAATTAAGCAGGGCGGTTTGCCACAAAAAAATCATTGGCTGTGCACCAATAGGCGTTAGCCTAGTGAATTCCAGCTTGGTTGGTATGTGCGTTTATCTCTTTATAGCCGTTATAGTAACCTGTCAATTTTCGTGCCCTTAGCATATGCTAAAGGAGGTGATTAAACAATTATACCCACATTTTATCCACTTTCAATAGCGTAGTAGATTCAAATCCGTGAAAACTCTTTCCCTATCTAGCCATAACTTTTCAGTGCACTTGAGTTAACCTCGTTAGTTTTAACAGAATAGGGATGCGATTCCAGCAAATTTGTGAATGTTTATTTTTGAAGAAGAAAAACTACTAGCATTGACAGCAGTTGATTCCAGATAGGATTTCAATTAAAAACGGGGTCTACTTTCAATTAATAGTAAACAAGACACTACAAAGAAAATAAACAAATATAGACTAAGACATTGGAAGATATATTATCTAAATCTGTGTTTATCCATAGTATATACGTCCTTTCAATTACCAGATTTTCACGGAATGCAAAATGAGTGCCAATGTTAATCAAGGGAGGGGGGTGGAGGTCATTTCACTTCTCCTCTTGAATTCAAAGCATGCTTGAATATTGACCTACACCACTTTTTAATTATTCAACTTTTCCCGTCTTAGGTACGCTGGAATTTTTTAACATAAAACGCAGAGACTTGTTCCTTTTTCTTTAACCTAAGCACCTGTTTCTCATTACCACCCCCCTTGAATGGTGCATAACATACCCGCAAACAATTGTTTTGAACAACGTGATTGTCCACTGGAAGGTAGTGGGACGATCTTTGAATTTATAAGGTGGTTTACCTTAGTATAATTGAAGCATCTATTCCCCTCTAATTTATGTTCCAACAATAATGACTTAGGGAGATCGGCGTTTGGTAGGAAAGGCACCAATCTTCATGTACACAATCAGTAGTTAAGCATAAAATGTACTCAACAAGCACAAATTAAATGCTTCAATCAAAGAAAAGGAATCAAAATATCTTTATCATCAATGCCAATTTATTGTAAGAAGTGTATCTATTTACATCACCTTAACTACCATCCTACTTAAGAGCCGCTGGGGAATCATACTGCTCATAAGCGAATTTCTCATTGTGAAATTGATCGTAGTAGAGCGCGATGTAGTCAATCTCAAGTGCAAACGGACCGGGAACACGATCAGCCAGAGTAAACGAGATCATTCGAACTTGAGAGCGTGAGATTCGTCCTTGACGATCTACCACCGAGCCACGATTAGAGACGAAGAAGGCAGAGAGTGGAATCTTCGCTATGCTCCAATAGGGTCCACCTCGGGTGTATAGTGGAAACTGGTGCATATCAAACCAAAAGGGATCCCATTCGACCTTTGGGTGGATGTTGAACTTGTAGGTTCGACCATCTCCTCGATAACTAAGTGAGGAAGTAAAATTACACTCAATTCCCGTAAAGAATAGGGTGCGCAATTTCGGGAACTAATGATGAGTATTAAATCATGTCTATTAAACTACAACAGTGTTTAGTTGTAACCCATCTCCAGGCGGCACATTGAGATTGACGAGAATAAAACAAGTGTAGTTAATCATTATGTTGCAGAAAAGGTGAACAACAAAAAAGCACCGTTTAAATAAGCTGAATTAGAATAGAATGGCATAAGAGGCCAAGAAAAGCATATAAGAATATTAAGACGGAACGGCAAGCATTAAAGAGCACAAATACGACAGGAGGGGAACATCAAGCCACAGAAGCCATTTCCCTCCCTCGCAGCACAGAAACATGAGGTTGAGTATATTTTCAACCTTATTCTGCATCCAGGTTGATCTGTGTGCTGACAGGTGCTTCTTCAATAGATTATTGTTAGTTTTAAGTGCTTCCACCGCCTTAGTAACAGTGAAATTGGTGACTCCCATTGTCTAAAGAACGCATACTATGAGGGTGCTTTCGAAAGTGACGAAAAAAATGAATGTAAGTCATCTGATTCTATTGCTTCAACAAGTTACTTAAATGTTAAATACGCTCAAGATAGTCATATTTATGGGAATGCAGGCAGTGAGAAATGAAAGCTCGAGTGATAACCAAATAAGCGCTAGTGTATAGGAGAAGTGCATTTGCGTTACCAAGACGCCTGCTTGGAATGGTGGCTGGGAGTAACGCTGCGGTGAGTTTCAAGTGTTTGTTGACATTCATTTCTATCCCCAGATAAACAAATAGTAAGCCCTATCACAAGCACATCTATCGCTTATCATCACATCTTGCCTACTTTTACGTAATCTCCAGTTTGGATGTGCCATTAGAACAAAGTCGATTACTTGGGGCTGTAATCCTAAGTTAGGCAAATATAATCAGAGCTATTGGGCAAGATTTTGACGTCCACTCATCCAACAAGTTGGCCAAAACATTGTTGCTTAAATTGAGGCATAGTAAGATCTAAGCCTAACCTCACCCTCTGACGGATGTAGTTGTTAACCAACAGTTGTAAAATAGCACAATAGAATAATATGTGATCCAATCTAGAGACATTCTCACATTAAAGTCTCCTAGAACATCTGCATGTTATCTCCAATGCATTGCAAATATAAAGAAAAACCATATTTGCAGGAATACAGGGCGGCATAAAAAGTGCAAAAAGATTCCTTTGTTGCTAGTGTACTAAAAAGAAAAGCGACACTTGTTCGGGCGAATGACAAGTATTAATTTTCCGAAATGAGACTTGTTAAAACAACGTCTAGAATTCATAAAAGATGGATTTAACAGTGGAAACAGGTAGTACATTGGCTAATGTAGAAGTCCGTTAGTCAAGGAGAAGTATAGTTCTACTAAAACCATACACCAACAATCACTGTAAGAGAAATAAATAAACCGCTCTCCATGCAAAGCTTCTCTAGTTGAAATGGTCATCTTTTACCCATTCGACTACTACGAGCCATTCTTATTCGAAACGGGTTATATTTTAAATTGATAATAAAATGTTAAGCGAAGAACTCTCGGTGCTTTCTTTCTTCCCCTTTAGAGCCAACAAGACAGGACCTAAAGGCGTGTTGAAAAACTTTTAATATAGGATCTAAACCACGGAATGGGATGTGCGATAGACTTACCTTTATGGGGTGCACCCTGGGCAACGTATACTCATACGGCAAAAAAGGTCTATTAACCGGCAGTTAACTTCTCACTTCAAACTACCATGACCCCACTGTATGTCATATTCGACTACTTCCACAGTACTCATTTTACATTTTCCATGCCTTTGTGTATGTCTGTCTCCTTTACATCTGTGAATCATTATTCTGTCCCCCCCCTCTCGATTTTTCGTCCCTTTGATGTTCCTCCCTCTAAAATACGAAATAACGAGCTGCATAGAAATAGTACACGTAAACTGGTGGTGCAGTGACCGTCTATTAAGTCAGAGATCTTGAGATCTGTGCTTACGATGAACATTTAGCTCAATAATTTTGGCCAATAACTGACACGATAGAAAGCTGGCCCCAACGAGGCTTCTCCTGTCAAATTGTAGCTCTTTTGATGTTGTTGAAAATGAATTTAATAAGGATAAATGTAACTAGATCAAGCAATGGTTCCAATGAATCCTGCAACAGATATAATAAAAAAAACAAATATCGGTTTAATAAGCAAAAACGGCAATTTTAAATCAGTAATTCTAAGGAGCGGTAATAGTGTGGGTTAATATAGTCACTCCATCTTAATATCGGGCTATAAAAACGCTCGGCCACGAGATTCACTGCACTACTTATAATTCATAATCACACGTCTTTCGAGAAAATTCAAGAAGTTTTTGAATTCATGCACATTAATAAAGTGGTTTTCAGCAAGTAATATATACCCATCAACTTACCGAATTAGAATATGCGTGTAGGGATTGAAGTTATACTCCTGGAGAAACCCAAGGAAGGTATGTTCAGGTGATCTGAGATGAGCGAAACCAGCTCTTACCAAATCACCCCGTTCAGGTACTCGTGTGCTGATATTTCCGCGGAAGAGACCATAACCCGCATTGAAGCATTCCTTCGGGGGATCAAGAGAAAACAGCGAAGCTTGAATGTAGGACTCAGAACTGGCTGGGTTCGGCAGGCGTTTTGCCCTATAAAGATAGAAAGGGAGTAAAATTCGATTGATTGCCAAGATCAGCCATTCTCGTACATTCGAATTAGCTTGCCATTAGAGTATCAACCTCAACGTTTCTGACCTAATGAAATAGTCTTTAAATTCTAGTCAGAAAACCTTCCCTGAATGGCTTAGAGAGGAGTTATACAATCTTATGTAAAAACAGTGACTAACTAAGTGACTTTTTAATGGATTATGATTGGATTACGATTGACGACTCATTGACAGAGGAAGACCAAAACCTTTAATCCAAGTTAACGCCCTCATGGGTGAGGAAGAGACTGTCACTTTCATTTGGCTTTTTACTCCAAAGAGGAGGGTAATATATGAATGGAGTCATTTATTGGCTCAATAATGTTAGATTACGAAATCCTACTCTTTCTACCAACCCTCCTCAATGAATCGCATCAACTCGCTTACTTAAATTAACAGGACAATTCGCTTAGTAGAGTGATCATGAAAGATAGCTTTACAGACAAATACACCCCCCCCCCTCCTCCACAACTTCCTTCATTCAATTTCCCAGTGTATCGGATTAAAGTTAAATAACTTTCGTACAAATATATTAATCAAATATGATTTATATGACATAGCTCTATTTGGTAAATTTGAGTAACCACTAATTGCACTCCAAGCACTGATGTAACATAGACAATCAGTCAAGTTTAATTTAGGCTACTTTATTGGTGAAATCAGCGTGAAAAGGAAGAGGGCAAGGTAAAACGTATTATCTACTAAAAGATAACACATCACTTCTATAAAGTGGTCAAAAACACAATTAAGGTAGTTCAAGGCGGTTAGCCAATTTATGACGAGAAGGGCATATTATTAGACTTAATGAATACATCTTCTAGCTCAAATCTCATAACGATAGAGAATAGATGCACGCCATTTATTCTTCAATCCAACTACCCGAAACTCTAAGTGTATAATATACTCCCCCCTGGATCAATATGATAAAGAGCTTGAATGGGAATAAAAAAATGACGTAAAATATTTGCATTAATTAACGGTAACAATTAAATGAAATAAAGAGGGGGGGGGGAATAGATTAATAGTGCCCCTGTTGAAAGTCAATTAAATAAGAGGGAGAAAGGGGGGGGGACGATGGAAGGTAAGAGTTACCAATCAACATGCGAGGAAAAGTAGAAATATGGTTGGCAAAAGTACGATTTCATTCACGAAGCTAGGTGAAGAAAAAGTATGCAAACAGGAATCAACAAAGAGAACAAGTTAAAGAAAATGATTCGTTTATTGAAAAAGTAAGTACCATAGTGGAAAATCATAAAAACTTCAATTGTTTTAATACCACTGAAAGAAAATGAGATGAGCAGAAAAAAGTGAGAACTTCAGTATGAGAACGAAGAGATGGAAAAAGACCAATAAAGTTATAGCTGTCCCTACTCAACCTAAGCGGCTTCATTATACGAAGAGATGGAGAGAAGGTGAGCTAGTCAGGCAAGAGTTGGAAACAAACGCACATTAAACTGAGACTACAATTCGTTTGCCAAAAGTGACTTAAAGTACCTACTAACAGTAACAAATTAGAGCATCAATAAGGCATCGGGACATCATAAAGTCCCTTATATAAGTGATGATCGAGTTTTGTTGTTGAACCGAGCGAGATTCCAAAAAAGGTAGAAAACCGGGGGGGGGGGGAAATGAACATGTGACAGTCGGTGGATAAACTACTTCAATCAATATAAACACTTTGAATGGCCTTTAAGTGAAAATTTAAATTGAAGCATCCAGCTGTGCCAATGAGTACGAGAGTATTCCAACTTACGTTTTTGTTTCCATGTACAAAGGAGTGTGAAGTTGCGACTTACTCGCATTGGAATAAAATGTCCTCTCTGGAGACAAAAAGAATACCCTATTAGGTCTAACAATGCCAACTGAACTTTGTTAGCCAACTTAAACTTAAGTTTTACCTAGTTAACTGGTAAATTTGCGTGAACAAATATTTTTACAGGAAAATGAAACAATCTCAGAAAAACAAACGATGATTTGCGTGCATCAACAGGAATTCTCGGTGTCTATGACATTTGCTGCGAATAATATACTGTGGTATGCTACGGAAATACAGAAATACAACAATAGTCAATCTAGGTATTGCACTATGAGAACCATTTCTGAAGGCTGATGGTTTAGAAAAAGGCTAGTCGATTTGGAACTGTGCAGAGGTTTTCGACCACCCTCAACATTTGGGGTTAGATGCGCAGATCGGTTTCGGACACTCGTTCATACCTGAAAATATCAAGATATGACCTCTTAAGGGCACTGATTAAGAGAATTAACCAAAGAGTTCCTTCAGGACATAAAAACAGCTACAATAAACGCAGTCTTAACTTCCAAAACTCCATTTAGAAATTCATCATTTCGAAAATGCCTTCCATTAGTTATACTAACGTCATAGCCTCATCATATATTGATAAAATTTTACTTGCTTCATTAAGAATAATTTAATATTTGTATTTGGAAACCTAGAATTTAAGTGGAAGTGTTCAAAAACTATCACCCTGTAAATTTTGATTTGATGCAAGCTTGGCGATCTTTTTTGCATCATAATAAGACACATAGGAAATCACAATGAATCTAACTCAAACTTGACTTAACTGTGATGATGACGCCAAAAGCGTTCCCTTTTTGCAAAATAACTACCACTAAATGCCTGGCAAAGTTTAAGGCGAAACTTTGAGGATTTCAAGCAGGTACTGCTTATAAAGGATGATGGAGGTTAACAAGACCACTTAGAAAGAGGGTTTGGCTTTCAGTGGGATTCAAATATGTCACATTTTTTCCAAGTAAGAGGAGATACTGCTTAATAATAAATAAACCCCACAAACCACATGCTTTCGCCTCTTCTGATTTATGATCCCATTACTTTTATAACAAGTTTTCCTTAACAAGAGATCACGTAGCCACACCTTCCCACACAAAAAACATGTTTCAATCGGCAATATTCTATGGTAGAAGCATCTTCCTAACCCAAAATATACCGAGCAGACATTGAATCTGCAGTATAAGACAAAGCCAAACCCATTTGGAATCCATCAATAAAGTGATTAATAAAATGAACTAATGCAAGTAGAGAGACCACGATGGTTATAAAATTAAAATACAAGCAGAGATTCATCATATGGGAAATAGCTAGAGTTGAAGAAAACGTTTGAGTGGTTCCGTAGCTTACAAATGGAATATATACCCTGAACTTGGAAATATACTTCTGGGAGTAAGAAAATATCCAGATGGGCATATATATTGGTCATCCTATTTGATGAATGCGACCGAAAGCATTTCAACCTACTATCATCTGGGGATGTAAGTAGTTATTAAAATACTACAAAAAATCAATTTGAATACCACACACGTGTAAGAATTCAGTGATATGTACTTACCAACCAAAGCATTGCCTTATCAAAAAAGGGAAAACCTGTTGCACAAAAAGAGGCTCGTTTTATAGTTATATCGCAAGGTGATTGTAATCTTAAATAAAATATAGCTTCATTATCAGTTCTTAAAATCAGCCGTAATAGCTTCAACCAAGTATCGCAAGTGTAGCGAGGTTAAAAATTACCCTTGAATCTCAAACAGAAAGTTATCCTACACCGATGCTTAAACATAACCTACCAGACTGACATTTACCAATTTCAGTAGCGTATCCCATTTGTGGTTCATTTGACCCACACCCTCAAAGGACTTTCGTCTACCACTAGTCTGAGTGACAGGATGTAGAGGATGGCAGAATTTATGATCTAAAATATACGAGATAACTTGAATATTAAGCACTAAATAAACATTGCACATAAGGAATGAACAATCACACTTGTACATTCATGTGTTTTTGGATTATATGAACTAACCCCTAGATAACAAAGTGAAAATTTAAAATGGTTATACCTATTTCAGCTGACAGGTCTAGCTTAGTTCGACGATTTTTCTACTTATCACCCCACTTATACACTAAGATACAATTCGATCTCTCTGGAGTTAACTGGGAATCCATAAGTAGCGGCTAAGACGTTCTATAAGTAAGTTGATTTGATTTGTTAGCAGTACACATACTAACATGACTGAATATGATTGTCTTGCCACACAAGCGCGAAAGAAACACAGATAGTGCAAAGCATAAACACCTGAATGTCACCGACCTCTCTTTTCTAAGTAAACGGAACCTAGAAGCCCCGTCAAGAATGCCCCCCCCCCTCCCAGTTAATGTGCAAGCTGGTACATTGTTCTGTTAAATATCATACTCAATCGGCACGAAACACAGTGATTGGATCAGAACTCTGATTACTTGGAAATCAATTGTTTTAGGAGAAGTGAAAGCTATGTGACTAAAGTACCACAATATCTCAAACTAGTATTATCAATTCATCAATGATCATAAAAATATGGTGAATCATCGACTTTGCAGGTAATATAGAGTAGGTTACTAAAACTTATTCTGTGAAATTCCTTAGTATTTGCTATTACAGAGAAAATAAGTTATTTTAAGTTGCGTAAGAATTAAAATACGCCAGTCCATCATTAATGATTCAATTTAACACAATCTCTCTAAACTACAGAAGCAAAGCCGAAAGCGTTTGTGGGGGGGGGGAGGTGTGAGGGAGGGGGTGGATGGCAATGAAAACGAGTTGAAAAGGGTTACCTCCAGAAAGGTGAAGAAAATAGTTATATATATATATATATATATATATATATATCTTTTCATCAAGAATAGGAAGAAATTCTCCATCCCGTCTAACCTAATTTAAGATCGAATTCGATTTATGAAGATTGTTAGGCAAAAGGGGATCATGTTGACGCCGAAATCGTCGATCGAAAGAGCATGAAGCGCATTAAAAAGTCAAGTTGATAAAGTGAATATCAAGCATAAGAACTACGAGCTAATTACGATCAAAACAGTAATTCGGAATTGATCAATATTAATTATATCGAGGAAAAATAAACAACTTTACAGAGGTAATAATTGGTATCGTAAACCTCGTTGCCAAAACTTTCCCCAACTTCAGGTATATAGATTCTAATCCCGCATAGTGAAAAGATCTCGCAAATTAAACGTTGACCTCACAGTATGCAGTAAAAGTGCAAGATAGTGAAAGTGGAATGGGAGAAATCCACACACGCACACACATATCTTCCTAAATTCAAGGAAATGCTGCAGCCAATTGGCTCGTTCATACCGATTGTTTAACGCCTTGATCAGGCTAAATTACTTC